ATATTAACTACTTGGGCGATTTATTGACAAAAGTAGTATTCAAATCATACAACAAATTGAAGTGGGAAACTACCTTGCAATGTCCTTGTTTGGCAAGCCGCAGTTAGCTCTTCAATATTAGTATATATTTAATACTTTATGCCATAATTTTTATTTGCTCTCCCTTATGTCCCGTATTTGGTTTCAACCATACTTATACAATTATTTTATTGACAATTATAATCAATCTTGACTATATTATCTTGCATTTGTAAACTTAGAATTGCCTATTTAAATACGCAAGTTCAACATTCAATTATCTATGCATGAACAATTTCAATATAATCTTGCCTTGATATAATTTAAAGTACTTATTAAAAAAAAAATCACTGGACATTATCCCAATCGCGCAATGCGCGTAAAAAAAACTAGTATATAATAGGTATAAGTATATCTCGCAAATTATGCTGTGCAACCGAATGCACCATGCGGATGGTGCATACGATGCAAAACGACGTCGTTTTGGTTAAAAAATGTGCATCCCACTTAAAAAAGAAATCAGGTTCGATTCCCGGCAATAGCATTTTTATATATCCATAAATTCATAACTATATATCCACAAATTCATAACTATATATCCACAGTGAATGAATGAAGTAAAAATCCACAATGAATGAACTAAATATCCACAATGAATGAACTAAATATCCACAATGATTGAACTAAATATCCACAATGAATGAACTAAATATCATAAATTCATAACTATATATCCAGAAATTCATAACTATATATCTGGAAATTCATAACTATATATCCATAAATTCATAACTATATATCCACAGTGAATGAATGAAGTAAATATCCACAATGAATGAACTAAATATCCATAAATTCATAACTGTATATCCAGAAATTCATAACTACATATCCAGAATAATGCTATTGCCGAGAATCGATCCTGAATTTTTTTTTTTAAGTGGGACGCGCGTTTTTAGTCAAAACGACGTCGTTTTGCATCGTATGCACCATGCGCATGGTGCATTCGGTTGCACAACATAACTATTGAGTATATCTTTTGTGAGTTATGAAGATATATAGTCTAGCTTAAATTAACCGCGCTTGTGAGTTTATTGGCTAGAATTGGTACTCTTTCTAATTCTTATAATGTTGTTAGTAAATTAAATCCTAAGAGCTTGTTTAAGATTGTTTATTAGCTAGAGAATTAATCAAAGAGTCTGTTTTGATTACCGACAAAGTAAGGAAAGATAGGTTGTTAGATCTTGCTAATAACCATAACCAATTTAGTAAAAAGTGAAGTAATTTTGTCTTAAAAATCAATGATCTGTCTTGTGAGAATTAAATTGATATTATGCCATGAGTTGGATACTAATTGCTATTGATATTTATTTTGATATTTGTTAAAAATAAGTTTAACCAATCTCTGTGGGTACGACCTTACTCAGCACTAATGCAATTCATAAGAGTAAGTAATTTATAATTTGTTAGATTCGACACCCACCAATTTTTTAGCGTCGTTGCTGGGGATTGGTGTCAAAAATATTATTCAAGAAAAACATAAATATATAAAAACTCATAACACTTCATGGACATTGGTCTTAACCACATTATAAATAATTAAGTAGCCCTCACAGGAATATCACTCATCACTCACAAGTGTTTAAAGGGTGTATAAATTTCACTCAAATCAATTCCTATAGAATTGTTCTACCATAGGCTTGAATATCTTCTCATTCTCCAATACAAGATAACATGCATGACCAAATCATAAGGACTTTGTACAATGTTGTAATGGGGCTTAGGCAAAGGGTAGGAAATATTTGAGAAAGTAGTTAATAAAGCCTTCAAAACTAGGGGAACAAAGATTGAATTAAGTGACTCAAAATAAAGACCAAATGAACCAAATCTCTCTTGTTATTTTGATAGTTCAACTCCAACCAAATATACTATTGTTGGGTAGTTTCTGTAACATTTTTCCATGATTGGTGCAAGGTTATTATGGCCTTAATGGCCATTAAGGTGTGCTAATTGTAACAGTTGTAACGGTTACCGTTACAACTGTTACAAAGCCTATATTGATGGTTAGATAGGCTATAAAAGCTAGGTCCCCTCACTACTCAAGTACTGTCATTATCCTGACAAAATATACACCATCCTATTATACTTGAGCCAAGTGGGAGTCACTCTGCCCAAATCACTGCAGAAATCAACTAAGGCACAACTAAGGCATTCTACACCAACTACAAGGCAAATCAAGCAAACAACTATGGCTGGAGGTTAGTCTTTATTATCACATATACAATGATGTATAAGTGTATATGTGCCTTTTATTTCTTACATTTGGTATCAGAGCTTGTTTATCTCTGCCTAGTTGTTCAACTGCCTATGTTTTAGCAAAGAAAAATAGAGCAAATATTGATGCATATTCATATAATGTTGATTACATCTTTCCAGTAATTGTATACATATTTGTGAATATGCATATGAACATTTGTATATATGTTTTTGTTTTATATGAATCGAAAATCCAAATGCCGTATGTGTGCAAAAATATATGGATACATAACTGTGTATATGTACACTGTTTTGAAATTTTTTTTTAAAGAATTTTTTTTTAATGTTTTTCGAAATATAAAAAAAAAAAATTTGAACTAACCTGCCGTGTGGCTTCTCCAACTAGCCACTCGCCGACGCCATTTTCTCCGGTGACCGGCGTAGAAGACAGGTGGTGGCGGCGAAGCTGGTCTCCGACAACGTCGCTGCTTCCCTTTCTTCTTCAGGCGACGACCAGCGATGGGGCTAGGATGGCGACGGCGAAGCAGGGTTTCCAGCGGTGGCGTCATCGCTGTCTTTTTCCGGCGAACAGAGAGGCTAGCAGATCGTGGGCGGTGACACTGTCTCCGTTACACTTCCTCTGCTCTTCGGTCGCGGTCCGTTGGAGCGACTGCGGGAGACGGCGAAGGGGTGGCGGCGCTGGGTATCCGGCGACAGTGTCGAGCGGCGGCCGATCTCTCCCTCGTTCGATCCTTCGCAGCGGCTCTCCTTCTTTTCCCGATCTACAGTGGGGAGGGTTTAGGTTAGATATGATAAGGAGATGGTTGGATCGGGTTATTTTTAGGGCCTGGCCCACTCTTAAAAAAAAAAAAAAAAAACGTTGTTGGGTCTGGTGGTTTAAGTTTTTTTTTTTTTTTTTTTTTTTTTTTTTTTTTTTTTTTTTTTTTTTTTATTTGGGTTTGTCTTTGTTATGAGCCTACAAGATTGATTTTAAAGTATTGTAATCTATATTGTTTTAATATAGTTTCATTCAAATTGAATTTAAATTATATTATTTGGTATACTCATATGTTTTAAATTGCTATAATGTTTGTGTAATTTATTTGTTTAATATGAGTTTGTGTTATTGTAATGTGCATATTATGTCCAATTAGCATAATTTTAATTTATTTTAATTATGCGATTAATTATATGCCTTAGAAATGCATATTTTAGGAATTTCTTGAACTCCTTAGTACTTGGACTTTGGTAGTGCCTTTTAGGAGTTTGTTGAATTCCTTAGTATATTGGACTTTAGCATATTGCGGTTATAAAAGTACATAAGGTTTAGTACGACTACGGTAGTGCCTGAAGATTAGCACATTAAGATCAAAGGTTCACATATTGTTAAAGGTTTTTTTTTCCAAACTTTTGAAAAAACCCTTCAAAACGTTATGCTACAATATGGAAATGCATGAACCGGGGAAAATTTCTTGGGAAGAAAACTAGAATAACCAATAAGCTACTAGTTCCCTTGGAATCCTACTCTGTCTAAGGAGTTGGTATTTAACCGAGTTCATCTCGACCAACTTTCCTGGGAGTATACTTGGCAATTGCTTATCATGTTGAGTGCATAGTTTGTTTTGTTAAATCTATGCCCACAAATTTAGTTAATTAAGGAGTAGCCATAGCATCCTTAATTTAATTAAAATTGTATATCAAGTTTTTCCAAATCACATAAAGTTTAGGCATAAATTGTGATTAATTATATGTAATATGATGAAATTTAGCCCACAGACAATTTTGTTATATTTGTATGGTTAATCAGGATAAAAATACCAAACTATGATCATAATTTAGCCCACAGGCAATTATGTATCGGCATATAGTCTTTGGTAGTTTTATCGTTGAGAATAGAAATTCAACCTTGTTCCCATCCCATTTCTATTCTAAAGTTTTCTAAAGTCCCTTTTGCGTAAAAATTTAGCCCACGGGCAATTTTTATGACATTTGGATCTTTGACATGCATCATTTACATTGGTAATGTATGCGATTCAATTATTTATATGCCTCAATATTCTAATCCAAACCTTTACCTTTACAGCATCTCAATCTGTTACTCATACTGATTTGAACATCGAAGTTCCCGAACTTAGGGGCGAAAACTACAAAATTTGGAAAGAAAGGGTTCTTCTAAGTTTAGGGTGGAGAGACTTGGACTTTGCCATCCATAACGTGCAACCACCGGTCCCCACTGAAGATAGTACCCAAGATGACATTGCACTATATGAGCGATGGAATAAGTCCAATCGGCTAAGTACAATGTACATCAAGGTGAAAATATCTGATGGGATTCAGGGTTTCGTTAGTGAAAAGCATAAGGATGCCCAAGCATTGCTCAAGTCTATTGACGACCAGTTCGCCACTTCAGAAAAGGCTTTAGCAAGCACCCTCATCATGAGATTCTCCTCTCACCGTCTCACTTCCGTCAAAGGTGTGCGTGAGCACATCATGGATGTAACACCCCCGATTTTCAACAACTTTTAAAATCAATTAAAGCTTAGAAAGGGGATAAAGTCTACTCATTAAGATTAAACAAGGCGGAAGCTAACTAAACAAACCGGAAGGTGCTATGCCACACCTATAACAAACATAGGTGCACAGGCAGATACTACAACTACAGCAGTCTAACAAATCAACTACTTAGGCTCACAGGCCTCAACAACTATTAAAGGAAGAGATCAATCTATCTACAGGCCACTAGTGCGCTCTCCAAAGCTACCAAATCTGTAAAGCAACAAATAGAAATGGGACGACGCCCGATCAGCGAATAATGCAGGTAACCCACCAATACATGTGAAATATCATACATAGATAGGGTATACGTATGTAAAATCATTTGCGAAACGGAATATACATATATATGTTCAAAACCAAGAACAGAAGTCAACACAAGACTCTAAGCACTCACAACAAGATAAGGGAACACATCCCAAGACCACACGAGATACAACAACTCACAAGAACGGCTCAAGGTATAATCTACCATCACACAGTAGATTAAGACCCGACATGCATAACACAAGAGAATAAGAACACACCCAATGGCAACACATGCCTTTTTGACTACACACGTCACAAGAAGAGAAACTCACAACAACGGCTACACAAGCCTTCGTGACATCACTCATCACGAATTGATATGCCTTCCTTATGCCCGGTTCCAACCTTATATCTAGTTCCAACCATTACCTCCAAGATCCCTGTACTTCTGAGTCCAACCTTTTCCGTCTTGGGACCGTCGTCCCCCACCAACAAACCACCAATTCATAGTACACAAGGTACCGATCACACACACAGCGGCACACGCCTCCCAAGAAATACGTGAACCCGACACACAGGTCACAAACTCCATAATCACGTCATGGCCACCACGAGGACCACTGCCGTACCCTGGTGACTAGTGTCCCATACCACTAATCGTGCAATCCAGGTACAGCCACACACACCACACCACAACAAGAATCAATCAACGGATCACAACGAAGATATGAAACCATACTCAATCAAGGAATGGATCACAGTCCAACAACAACGATGAATAACACAAGTTATCATCAACCAATAGGAAAGTACAAACAACACACACGCTAGCATTTAAACACCGAACTAGCATGCTTATCAAACGGGTAAACCAAGCGTAGTTCCTAAGAACACACAAGACTCATCACGGTTCAACGAAACACAATGTTGAACACTTAGCACGATTCAAGACACCAAAACCTACATGGATTCCTACCATATAGTTCTAGACATACGAAACATCAAGAAGACGCTCAAATAGTTCCACAAAAGAACATCGGGAAGTCAAAAGACCAAATACCGAGTCAAAAGAATCACGGGGAACAAATCCCCCAACAACTAACATAGTGTGCCCGCGGGTGGGGCCACGGGTGGACCCCCACCCGTGGTTCCGCCCGCGGGAACCACATCCCACACCACATGTACCCCGCGAGTGGGGGGCGGGTGGACCCCTACCCGCGGGTACATGTCCTGTACCAAAATAATCCCTTCGCGGATTTTCAACACCAAGCTCAAATTCAAGTCCAAAACATGTCAAATCTCACCAAATACAACAAAATGACTTGAATCAAAGGAATAGCCAAACAATGGCATACAAGAACCCTAAACACAAGCTCTAGATATGCATTTTCACAAGACAATGCATAAACACTCACATTTCATAGCAAAACACATGTAGAATCCAAGAAATCATCATATAGGTAAGCAAAATAGATTTTGTAGAGCATGGGTTACCTCATTCGCTTAACATCCAAAAACCATGCCAACTTAGGTTAGGCTCAACTCATAAGCCAAACGGGAACCTGTGAATCAAACCGGATCTCCAACTAATTAACAAGAGTACTATACAAAATTAATTATGCTCATAAGGAAATTTGAACTCTAGTTCCACCCTAAATTACCCACAAGCTCAACCATCTTAGCTAGGCACCTTATTATTAACTTAATCTCAACATTAAAACACTAGAAGATAAGCTCATAACAACTCTAGTTCCACCCTAAATTACCCACAAGCTCAACCATCTTAGCTAGGCACCTTATTATTAACTTAATCTCAACATTAAAACACTAGAAGATAAGCTCATAACAAAAGGTTAAGGTAAAACTAATAATTAAACAAGGCTTAACTTAACTAACCATCCTAGGATTTGAACCTTAGCTAATTACCACCTTAAACACACGCTTACCACTACACCACTTAGCCACTTGATGATTTTAATCAACATTAAACTACTTAACCTAAACTAATCAGCAATACAAGGAAGAAGCTCACCAACTGCCATCTTCTTCTTCTTCAAGCAGACGAACCCGCGGGTAGAACGTCAAGACACCCTCTGCCCGTGCTACTGCCCGTGCATGCTCTGCCTCACGGGGACCCAAAACTCGCAGGAAAAGGAGGAGGCGCCACCCTTGCTGCGATCCGCCTCTGCCGAAGATGCCTCGCACCACCACCTCCCTGCATCACGGCCGTTGCTGCTGTCCGAAGCTCCGCCGCCGTCGACGAAAGAGAAGCGTCGAGAAGCTCCAAACACCAACCAAGCTGCTGCCGGGAACTCCGTTGCGTCGAGAGATCGCCGAGATCGCCACCACAGTCGACCGAGCTCGCCGGAGAAGACCACTACCGAGGTTGCTGCCTCGCCTACTGCTGAGCTCCACCTACACCACCTCACCCAACCGTTACAACTGCTCAGCTTCTGCCGGAACGAGGAAAAGGTGCGGACGAACAAAAGGGAGAGGAAGATGGGTGATCGGCTTGTTTGGACAGAGGAGGTGACCTCCAAGGTCTCAGGTTCACGTTGCGGCGATGGAGTAGGCAAAAGAAGAAGTCTCGGCCGTAAGATAAACTTGGAAGAGAAGTGATACAATGCACCCACACACTAGAGATGGTAGGGTTAAACAATTATTGGGTTGGGCTAAGTCTCTTGGGTCAAGAACCATACATACATATATATTTTGGGGCATACAAAATAATAACATTTATTTTTATACAACATATGTGCTTGACTAAACGTGGGTTGGGTAACTCTTTTTGGATCAAGGGTCATTTATTAGGCTTTTAGGAATAAAATCATTTTGGGCTTGGAATATTTTGTACAGAAATGTTGGTTCACAAAAATAGGTAGACCCGAGCCCGTTTTCAAATAATTAGCTATATAAATAGTTTTATTCAAATATTTACTATCGGGACTATAATTTATTTTTAGGAAAATATGGGGTGTCACAATGGAATTGCGGGACATTGTGGCTCAACTTAAGAATCTTAGGGTAGATATGTCGGATGACTTCATTGTGTACTATGCTTTGTACACCCTACCATCACCGTATGGACATTTTAAAATTTCTTATAACACACATAAGGAAAAATGGTCCATAAATGATTTAATGACCATGTGTGTTCAAGAAGAAGGAAGATTGGTGATGGAAATGGGAGAAAGTGCCATGCTGGCTACGGCACACGAGAAGTCCAAGTCTGGAAAATCTCGAGGTTCCACTTCTAAGGCTAAGGGGAAAGGAAATCTTTCACCTCAAGCAGACATAAAGAAGGTGCATAAGTGTTTCTTCTGTAAAAAGAAGGGGCACATGAAGAAAGATTGCATCAAGTACAAAAAGTGGATCGAGAAGAAAGGTATTCTATCCTCATTCGTTTGTTATGAATCTAATATGTCTGAAGTTAACACTAATACTTGGTGGATTGATTCTGGTTCAACAATCCACATTGCAAACTCTTTACAGGGAATGCAGGATCTAAGGAAGCCGGTGGGAAGTGAACGAACCATCTTATCAGGAAACAAGATGGGGTCACAAGTGGAAGCCATTGGAACATGCAAGCTTATTTTAAGTAGTGGCTTTGTTTTGATTTTGAATAAGACATTTTATGAACCAAGTTTCTCCCGAAACTTGATATCTGTTTCTAGACTTGTGCCGTTGGGTTTCTCCTTTAATTTTCGAGACAAGCATTTTGATATTTTCAATAAATCACTTGTGTTGAATATGGTACATTGTCTGATGGTCTTTATCGTTTAAATTTACAAAACAATGCCACTTATAGCTCATTGCATGTTCACTTCGGTTCCAAAAGATCAAGTGTTAGTGAGAACTCCTCTATGTTATGGCATCGGAGATTAGGTCATATCTCCCTTGAACGTATAAAGAGATTAGTAAATGATGGAGTACTTAGTACTCTTGATTATACTGATTATCAAGACTTGTATAGACTGCATTAAGGGAAAGCAGACGAACAAGTCTAAGAAAGGTGCCAAAAGGAGTTCAAGCATATTGGAAATCATACATACTGACATTTGCTGTCCAGATATGGATATGCCAGGTCAAAAGTATTTCATCACCTTCATTGATGATTACTCATGATTTACCTATGTGTATTTTATTCATAATAAGAATGAAGCGTTGGATGCCTTCAAGTCTTTTAAGGTTGAAGTTGAGAACCAATGTGGGAAACGAATACAGATAGTAAGATCCGACAGAGGTGGTGAATACTATGGTAGGTACGCTGAAAGTGGACAAGCACCTGGTCCGTTTGCTAAGTTTCTTCAAGAACATGGGATTGTTGCCCAATACACCATGCCTGGTTCTGCGGACCAAAATGGTGTTGCTGAAAGAAGAAACCGCACGCTTATTGATATGGTGCGGAGTATGCTTAGTAACTCAAAACTTCCTAAGTTTTTGTGGGCCGAAGCACTTAAGACGGCTACGTATATATTAAACCGTGTTCCGACCAAGGTTGTCCCAAAGACGCCGTTTGAGTTATTTAAAGGTTGGAAACCGAGTTTGCAACATATGCGTGTTTGGGGATGCCCGTCTGAGGTGCGGATATATAACCCACAAGAAAAGAAGTTGGACCCGAGGACTATTAGTGGCTTCTTTATTGGATACGCACAGTCTTCCAAGTGATACAAATTTTATTGTCCATCTAATTCAACTAGGATTGTGGAATCAAGAAATGCTAAGTTTCTTGAAGATGACATGATTAGTGGGAGGGATCGGTTCAATGATTTGATTTCTAATCATGATCATATTGAATCATGTCCTTCTACGTCATTAGATAGGTTGATAATAGTTTCAAACACCCCTCAAGTTCAAACGGGTACTGAACGACCTATTGAAGAAGTTCCACAAAATGCTGATATTATTCCAATTGATCAACCAATTCAGGAAATTCCTGAAGCGGTAGTTGAACCGCTAACTTCTCAAGAAGACGGTAGTTCAACTTTAAGGCGATCTACTCGTGGAAAAAGACCGGCAATTCCTAGTGATTATATAGTGTATCTGCAAGAGTCTGATGTTGGAGCCGAAAATGATCCAGAAACGTTTTCACAAGCCATAAACTGTAAAGAATCAGATTTATGGTATGAAGCCATGAAGGAAGAAATGAGTTCCATGCGAAGCAATAGGGTTTGGGACCTTGTTGAGTTGCCTAATGGGGCCAAGGTCATTGGCTGTAAATGGGTCTATAAGACTAAAAAGGACTCATTAGGCAACATCGAACGATACAAAGCTAGGCTCGTTGCTAAAGGATTTACTCAAAAGGAAGGAATCGACTACACGGAGACATTTTCTCATGTGTCAAAGAAAGATTCACTTTGTATAATTTTGGCTTTGGTTGCACATTTCAATCTTGAATTGCAACAGATGGATGTGAAAACGGCATTCCTTAATGGTGATCTAGAAGAGGGGGTTTATATGAAACAACCTGAAGGATTCTCTTCTAGTGAAGGTGAGCATTTAGTTTGCAAGTTAAAAAAGTCCATCTATGGTTTAAAACAAGCTTCCCGCCAATGGTATATAAAGTTTAATGGGGTCATTTCTTCATATGGATTTGTTGAAAGTCCCTTAGATCATTGCATATACCAAAAGACAAGTGGGAGTAAAATTTGCTTTCTTGTTTTATATGTGGATGATATTCTACTTGCAACAAATGATAAGGGAATGCTGCACGAGGTTAAGCAATTCCTTTCTAAGAATTTTGATATGAAAGATATGGGCGAGGCATCTTATATCATTGGCATAAAGATCCATAGGATAGATCCCGGGGTATTCTCGGACTATCGCAGGAAACCTATATCAACAAAGTCTTAGAAAGATTTTGGATGAAGGATTGTTCACCGAGTCCAGCTCCTATAGTGAGAGGAGATAAATTCAGTTTGGACCAATGTCCAAAGAATGATTTTGAAAGAGAATCCATGAAGAATATTCCTTATGCTTCAGTTGACGGATGTCTCGGGTATGTTCAAGTCTGTACTAGGCCGGACATCGCCTTTGCTGTTGGAATGCTGGGACGATATCAAAGTGATCCGGGTTTAGACCACTGGAGAGCTGCAAAGAAGGTTTTAAGGTATCTCAAGGGTACCAAGGATTACAAACTTGTGTTCAAATAGATGGACGTTTTGGACATTGTTGAATATTCTGACTCGGACTTTGCCGGTTGTGTTGATTCTCGAAAATCAACTTCTGGGAACATTTTTATCATGGCCGGTGGAGCTGTTTCATGGAGAAGTGTTAAACAAACTCTTGTCACCACTTCAACCATGGAAGACGAGTTCGTTTCATGTTTTGAGGCTACATCTCAAGGTGTATGGCTTAAGAATTTCATTTCGGGGCTTAGAGTTATGGACTCTATTTCTAAGCCATTAAAGGTTTATTGTGACAACTCAGCTGCAGTCTTCCTGGCTAAGAACAATAAGTGTGGGAGTCGAAGTAAGCATATCGACACCAAGTACTTAGCTATCAGGGAGCGTGTTAAAGATAAGAAAGTGGTCATTGAGCATATAAGCACTGAGTTGATGATTGCTGATCTCTTAACTAAAGGCATGCCACCATTCATGTTTAGGGATTTTGTTGAGAAAATGGGACTTGCACCCACTTTGTAAAGTTTGTATACATACAGTTATTTTATTCAATTCTTAAAGCATTCAGATATTTTCTCATTATTATATTGTGCACATATTGTTGGGGAAATATATATCTTATGGACCTGGAATAAACATAAGGTTTATCCATTAAGTTTTGGTTAAAGCACATAAAGTACTTAGAGAACAAGTTGCATTGTGATTATAGTACATACTACTCGTATTAAGAGGACATTCTCTATAGTTTATGTATTTTGTTTCTTTAAGTTTGTTCTTGTATCAAGTGGGAGAATGTAACATTTTTCCATGATTGGTGCAAGGTTATTATGGCCTTAATGGCCATTAAGGTGTGCTAATTGTAACAGTTGTAAATGTTACCATTACAACTGTTACAAAGCCTATATTGATGGTTAGATAGGTTATAAAAGCTAGGTCCCCTCACTACTCAAGTATTGTTATTATCCTGAAAAAATATACACCATCCTATTATACTTGAGCCAAGTGGGAGTCACTCTGCCCAAATCACTGCAGAAATCAACTAAGGCACAACTAAGGCATTCTACACCAACTACAAGGCAAATCAAGCAAACAACTATGGCTGGAGGTTAGTCTTTATTATCACATATACAATGATGTATAAGTGTATATGTGCCTTTTATTTCTTACAGTTTCTTGTTGGTATACCCCAAAAATAATAATCCTACGAAAAGATTATTATTATATGGAAAGGCAAATAAATGGGAAGGAAAGGGTGGATGATCCGGTTAAAGGTTTAGCACGAGTTGAACGAAATTGTTCCTTTCCGTAAAACCTTTTTTGCTACCTCCCACAAGTGCTAAGATCGTTGTAACCTAGGTTTCCCAAGATAAAACGTGCTACGGTTCAACGTTTGAGGTTCCTGTGAGATCAGGTTCCTGTGAGGTCAGGTTCTGAGTTGCCCTTAGCCAGAGATCCAGAGAATACACCATACAGTGTTCGA